TAAACATTCTTGTAATAGAGAATCTTTTAAATAACAATTATTCACAGTGATTATAAAATCTCTCATAAGGTGTGAGTGCTCATTTTCTCAATTCCATCAAAGGCTATGTATACATAAAGCTGTAGAGCTTTCATGGTAACAGCCAGGCCAGAAACATTTTTCTAAAATAATGGTGGCAAAAAGGATTCCTTTATAGTTCCATTTGAGAAACCTGCTGGCCCCATTCAGCTAACAATATCCACTCTCTCACCTTTCCCCTTCCTTTATCTTACTTGATCCTAGTCTTAAAATAGAACCAGTACATTTTTAACATGAAGAAATACAATTCATTTCTCAGCTCATTACAACATTGTAATCAGTTTCTCTGAATTGTTAGGTAGGCATTATCACCCTTGCATCTTAACGTCTGTAAGGAATTACACCTGCTCCCTGCAAGAATTTACTCCTGAAAGTCTGGAGCCCCATACCTGAAAATAAATTATATTTTTCCACCTTTCTTTCCTTTTTTTTAAAAAAAAGGAAATGGCAACCAATGCAGTAAAGGACATCCAAAAATTACTAAAAATTTCTTCTCCTAAATTTCTGCTTTATCAACTGTCAAACACTCTTGTGCAGCATAATCTTTTCTATGGTGACTCATCAATTACTGTGGCTGAAGGCATACCCAAAATGCCAGACAGCACTTTCCACAAATATCCTTTAGTCAGGCTACACATTATGATACCCATACATCTAAAATAAGTCAGAACTCTGGAGACTACAGCATTTAGTCAAGATGCACAATGAACTTTGATTCCTGGCTGATGACCACATTAATTGAAAAATGTTCCATTTCTTTCAGTCAAATGATTTCACAAGTTTACCTATGAATAAAAAATGGCTCAAAGGCAGGGAAAATGAATGAACTTGAAGTTCCTTTCTTAACACGGGATGAACAGAGAAAACAAAAAGACAAAATTTTTAAAGGAAATGTAATAGAAGTATTGTACAACTGTGAATAATCTCTTTCTTGTGATGTATTTCCCTGAACAACTAAGGGTGAATAAAATTTCTCTTAACAGAACAGGAAGGCAAGTCCTACTTTAACCCCCTGATGAAAGAACCAAGTTTTTTGTAGCTATTAGGGGAGAATTGCCATGAATGTTCAAAACAGATCTCTCTTGCTTGATATTACATAGAACTACAGACAGCAGTTTCCATTGTCACAGTTTCATTTCTTCTTGGCATGCTCCTTGGTGATACAAAGCTTTTTTACTTTATGGAAAGTATCTATATATTGAATTGTCCTTTACTGTTGGCAAAATCTCCCCAACCCAGCCTCTGAATATTGCCTGTTTTTCAGTTGAATTCTTTAGACGTAAAAAAAAACCAGAAAAAGAAACAAAAAACCCAAAGAGATTCTGATTTTATAAAACACATGGTTTTAAATAAATTCCTTTGAAAACCATCAATATTACACAACGAAAAATATTATTTATTTTATATCTTACTGTTTTCTCAACTCTGTTTCTAAGCCTCTATTTCTCATAAACACATTCAATAAAATCACTCAACTGAATGACTTCCTATTCAACACTAAGAATAAAGAGCCTATAATCTGGTTTAAAATTACTTATGTCTAAAAAGCATTTGCAATTAATGATGAAGTTTATGTATAAACAGTAAAAACAATGAAAGACTAATTGCAGCTGTAACTGCTACATCATCAACTCTCCCAAAATCACATCTTTTGTTTACTTTACATATTTTTTATGTCTGCATTCTGTATACATTCATATAGGCTTTTTTTGGGTTGAGTTCTTGTTTCCCCTTCAGTAAGCATGTTTCAAGACAGAACTGACAGGGAGAATAAGAACGACCTTAGCATTCACCAGAATGCCAATTGCAGATGAAAGCTGCATTTATCACAGTGACAAGCAAAGCACAGAAAGTGGAAAGATAAGTTCCTTTGTGATTTTTGCTCTATAGCCTTTTCCTCACCAAAATTATTCTGGTTATGACACAAAACTCTGTCATGGACATCTCTGCTGAGTCCTTAAACCAGCTGACTGATTCAGACGGAAGTGTCATTGTATCACTTACATTGATAGGTATTAGTTTTCTAAATAAAAATGAGGAATGAGAACACATATGCAGGAAGCCTCTTCCTTCATGTAAAGTTTGTAGTGGAAATAATCACTTTGGCTTTGGCCTATCTTCAGCCTTCTTGCATGTGAGAACTTGATAAATGAGACTGCCTCAGGAACCATATTTGTGCTACCTCAGGTTATGCCGTCCTCGGGAAAAATATGGTATGTTTGATATGATGTTAATGATGAATTCAACTCTAAATAGCAAGCTGAGGAGAAAGTCTCTAGTGGATCTATCTCCAAATGCATTGTAAAATATTTTTCATTAGCAGTATTTTTGACTGACTTGTTGTGCCAGAAGTTGAGCATCAAAGAAAGTAAGTCTGAGCCACAGGTGCTTCAGGCTCTGCTCAACTCCTGCACTGGTTTCCCACACAGACTGCAATTTATCCTGATGCACAGAGCTGGAAGAAGGATATTGTTTATTCATAAAAGGAGTAATTTGAATAATGTTTTTTACAAGGGTATTTTTTGTTCTTTGCTTTTTTTACACTGGGCACCATATTTTAATTAAAGCGATTCATATGTAGTGTATTAACACCTCTCAGTTGATAAAGAAGAGTCTCTAGGTCACAAGTACAAATGCTAATACCTATATATATCTAAAACATACCTTGACACCTACAAGATCATCACCTCTGGTATAGAAGTCAGCTAAGACTAAATAATAAAGCATTTTACAAGGGCTGACAGCTTTTCTTCACTCTTTTTTAGGCAAAATCAGAAGCCAAATAATAGTTGTTGGATATGGTGTTACAGAATGGGGACTACAACTTCCTGCATTTTACAGACACAAGCAAGAGAATGATACTTCAGAAGTAATTGCTTAACTGTTTCATTACTAATTTATTTCCTCCATCCTTCCCTTGATAATATGATAAAGTAATTTACACTGCAGCAAGGACAGGAAGAAGCTATATGCTCAGGAATGTAGATTCTGAAGAGCACTCTGTATTACATAGTAATATGCCTTCCTTACTATTTTACAGGGTATATAGAGGGAAAGAAAGGAAACTATGACTCATATTTTCCACTCAATTTATACAAAGGCTTCCATTAACACACCAACAACCAAATGTGTGCAGCAAGGAGAGCATACTCTGTTCCCCAGTAAACGTAAGCTATGTGTCCACATGCACACACATCAAGAGGCTATGATTACATCCAGTGTAATCAGAAACTCAAATAGTTTGTGACATCTAAAGCTAAGATGTATACATACTCTTAGGACCATATTCTGTCCTCAGAAGGATACTCACAGGTTGCATAGGTTGCCCCATTTTATTGAAGCATTGGAGAAAACAGATTTTGGTAACAACTTTTGTACTCTTTGTACTTTTTGAACCTCTCTCTAGCAAACCCTATTGTGTACCTGGGAAAATGATGATTTTCATCCTTGGCACTGTATAACTACAGACAGCAGAGACTACAGAAACATAATTCTTAATTCCAATAAAGATATGCTGGGATAATAGCAAATAAAATTAGTGTTATTTAACTCTTCAGCTTTAGTGTTAGACTTACTTAAGAATAATCAAAATTGCTCCATAGGTAAAGACAGGGGAAAAGAGAAGGGGAAAATGATGAGGCAGAGCCACAGCTGTATCTCAAGGTGCCATACAATAGCTCTGCCTTGGCCCTTTGCAGCATGAGCAGAAGCAGGTGAGCCCAACGCGGTCCTACCTGTCCTGTGTGCCAGGCAAACCATGGTACTACCATGGTTCCACTTCTCTGCATGAACACCCAACAGCATCAAGTAAACATAACAAGGAAGTCTCACCTGTAGATCTCCACAACCTGTCCAGTGCCTTCTCTCCATTTAGTGAGAGGAGCAGAACAGGAGTTGTGGTTTGGATAAGGGATTAATATCAGGGCGTGCATTACTCAGCTCCCTGAGTTCTAGAAGAGAGCATGTGGAAAAGGCCTAAGTAATTCCATAGAGAATAAAGTTCTGGAGCAAGATTTCTATGGTTAAACACCATGTGCTATGAATCCCCTTGAATGATGCAATGAATTTTATAATAATTAAGAGTACAGTAATTTCACGACTATAAGGCGCACCCATTTGACTAAAATTTTGGTCCGAAGCCAGAAGTGCGCCTTATAATCTGGATGCACCTTATATATGGACAAAGTTCAGAAATTTGCCAACCCGGAATAGGAGCTGCGGCTGCCCCGAGCTGTGGCACCCCCGGCATCATGGGAGCCCTCGGCACAGGGTGCCCACGGCGCCAGGGCTGCCGCGGCTCAGGGCGGCCACCGCTCCTACTTCCGGGTTGGCTTGGGGTGGCTGGGGTTCCCATGGTGCCGGGATGGCGCAGGGCTCCCAGAGCACGGGGGCGGCGCAGGACTCCTGGAACAGCACTGGACTCCTGGAGCATGGGGGCAGCACAGGGCTCCCAGAGCAGCACTGGACTCCTGGAGCGTGGAGGCGGTGCGGGGCTCCCAGAGCAGCACTGGACTCCCAGAATGCCGGGGCAGCCGCAGCTCCCACTTCCGGGTTAGCTCGGGGTGGTCGCAGCTCCTACTTCCAGATTGGCTCGGGGTGGCCGAGGCTCTCGCAGTGCTGGTGCGGTGCAGGGCTCCCGAACTCCTGAAGCACGGGGGCAGCGCGGGGCTCCCAGAATGGTACGGGGCTCCTGGAGCATGGGGGCAGCGTGGGGCTCCTGGAGCAGCACCGGACTCCCAGAGCACGGGGTCAGCATGAGGTTCCCAGAGCATCACGGGGCTCCTGGAGCATGGGGGCAGCACAGGGAGGAAGGGACTGGGCAGCCACAGAAGCCACAAGACGCAGCCACCCCGAGCCAGCATGGAAGTGCACCAGCATGGAAATGCAAGCCACGGTCATGCCACAGCAGCCACGAGCTGTCTCAAGCTGCAGGCAGCCCCGAGCCACCCCAAACTGAGGCAGCTCTGAGCCGCCCTGAACTGCCACGAGCCGGAGCAGCCCCAAGCCATAGCAGCCCCGAACCACCACAATCCGCAGCAGCCCTGAGCCGTCCCAAACCGCGGCAACCCCAATCTGTCCCAAACCGCGGCAACCCCAAGCCGTCCCAAACCGCGGCAACCCCAAGCCGTCCCAAACCACAGCAACCCCACGCTGTCCCAAACCGCAGCAGCCCCAAGCCGCAGCCACCCCGAGCTGTGCCTTGCCAGCCAGCACCGGGGGCAGGTGGGAGTACCAGGGCCCACGTATGGGGAGGGCGCTTGGGGCTCCATTTAAAGGCTACACCAATCTGTGAAAAATGTTTGCAAATTGAGCACCTGACAGTAAACGCTGCAATCATGATTCTGTTACTAATTTGTTACTTTGTTGCGAGCAGCACAGACCCTCGCTGGGAAAAAAAGTGCGCCTTATAGTCCAGTGCCCCTCATATAATGTAGAAAGTTGTGAAATTTGCCAACTCCCGGAGGTGCGCCTTATAATCCGGTGCGCCTTATAGTCATGAAATTACTGTACATATGAACACTTTTCATACCAAAGCATGTAGACTTTGCCTTGTGCGAAAAGCCAAATAAAATCTGAATAAAATTTTCCAAACATTCTTCCTTAGTGTTACTACACTTACTTGGTTCTACAGATCTTAATGTTTCAAAATAAGAATGAAAACAGTGTTTAGGAACAGTGTGTTAAAACTTGGCAGCAATACGTCCAAGTACTAAGGAAAAGAGATGGCTCACTATTTCTTCTCTATATTACTGAAGCACCAAAGCTTATGGTAACCTTCAGAGCTGCCATAATTTCTTAAAGTACTACTGCTACTATCATTGGCACATAGTAGTCCAAGGACACTAGTCTTGGCTTCCACATTTAAAAAAAAAAAAAAAAAAAAGCCCTATCCCTTTTATCAGTAAAGTCAGAAAATATCATTATTATGAGCATGACTACCAAAATGAAAAGGCTCTTAACAGAGAAACCTATATAAATCAAGCAATGCAACCAAAAGCCAGTAGACTTAGTGAATTGTCATTTTACTTCACACATTTTTCATTTCAAAATCCCCCTTTTTTTCTAGAAAAGAATTTATGTAAGAGATTGTTGTTTGTAATTTGCATAATAGGCTATTATTCAAGTGTTTCAAATACACTTGTTTACCATTAACCATAGGAAGAAAATTTTCTGTAGAAGAGTGGGATTATTTTTTTAGCAAATCCAGAGACTTAGGTGGTTCATAAAGGACCCTGTAAAAGCTTAAATTTCAAATGCAGTCCACAAAGTAAATTGTCAGAACTACAGAAAAAGAGAAAAAATTCCATGTGCAAATCAGCTGTATTATTCTCTCCAGTACTGCTGCTCAGAACAAATAGTTCAATGATTACAGTTCGGTCTATATTTAGGATAAAGTAAGCAAAAGGTGTCATGTTAAGAACAAGAAAGGGTGGGAAAAAACCTGATCATACTTTTTCAGAAGAGCTTAAGTACAATTGACAGAAATAGCTTTTCCATAAGGTATATCCAAGGGGTTTGTAAACCTAAGTTTTCCTTGCTTATTCCTGGGCGGTGAGAAGGACAGCTGACCACTGGGGAAAGACTTAGATGTGTCTGCATGACTAATGAACACAGCGATAAAAAAATCTATTCCAGTAAACTTTATAATCCATTTAACACGTACCTTATCCTCAGAGGAAGACAGTACATTCCTTCAGGATGCAACACTGTAATGGAAACTTCCGTCAAAAAAAGTGTGGTATATAGCCGAGGATCAGAACAAAGTGTTAATACCTGGTACACATTTTTCTGGATATGTATTCCTGCGCTGCCATGGAAAAAGGGGTTTGCACAATTTTACAATAATTTTGAAAGCATGCCTTACTCAGGCATATTATTCAGAATCTTATCCTTGACTCTATGTACTTGCATTATATAGCTTAGTTTCACAAGCTTAGTTTTCCAAGAAATAGTTTGGGGTTTTATTTTCTGTTTCTGTCAATTTTGCTGTGTTTCAAAGGTAGTATTTCCCTTCTTACTCACATACAACAGCATTTCATGAGAGAGGGATGACGACCGAGAGTCTTTGGCCATCTTAGTCTTTTTCTCCAACAGCCAGCACACCTCAGAGATGAAAGATGATAAATCATCTTGAGGATACTCAGTTCATCAGCTGAAACAAACTAAAATACAAATTAAGCCAAGCCTACAGCTTCAGCCACTACTATTTCTGAACTCCCCAGCAGCTCTCCCCTCATTAGTATCACTACAAGGGCACAAGCCTCAAATGATAGAAGCTGGTGGCATAAAGGGGCCACATCTCTTCTGCAGAGACAGATCAACTCCTCCAGAGGCAACATACACATATTTTTAAATCCAAATTATTACTGATCTGGAAAAATTTAACTCGAAGTTACCACAGCACAAAAAAAGGCACAGAAAGCATGTATCTTTCAAAATACTGAAGAAAATTTTACTTTCAGATTCATCTGGCCCTTCTCTATCCACATAAAGTTTGGTCTGGTCCAAAATCTGGGTCTAAAAGCAGCCATCACCCACCTTCAAAAGCCACAAGGGAAGCCACAGCCTGGCTCCAGGGCTAAGTGGCAGAAATCAGTAAAATTTTACGGTTTCAGCTAATCAATACAGAAAACAGTTGTGTTTCATCAAAATTTCAATGTTTCCCTTGGCCACATCATGCTAGATTCCCTGAGAGGGGATTAAAGTTTTCAGTAAGAGACATTAGGAATGACTGTCATGTTACAGTTCAGAAAATCAGTCTTTCACACAGAAGATTTAGAACTCTCACTAGTAACTTTTTTTTTAAAATAACATTTTCCATCCAAATTGAGATGATGCATAGATCACTCTATCTGTATTCAAATTTTGTTGATACTCTTGTTGTTGGTATTTCCCTGCTACTAGCTATGCAAGTGAAAGTTTATTCTTCATACTAGTTGAGGAAAATTTAGAGGAATTCCACTACAACACAAACAAATCCTTCAATAAAGATGATGAGCAACTCTGCTGGCTCTGGTTTTAACCCTGTAAACAAGGCAGGAAGTCCCATACCTCAATTCTACAAGATTATTAAATTCAAACAATTTAGTTCCATCCCAGTTTCACATATCAACAGTGTCATGTTGTTACCTATTAATGTGAAATCTAATGCAATTGTTAAACTTTCTCCACTCCAACAAATGAAAAGCAAACAAATATTTCACACTCCACTTTTGGTCTTTGATACTTTGATATAAAACATGCTTTGTTTACTTGTATCTTCTTTTAAAGCTCAGCCACTGCATGTTAGTTCCAGCAAGAATGTAAATCTCCAAACAATAAGGTATGGTGATACATAACATTTAATACACAGCTGACTAAACACTGGTAAGTGTTTACTTCAAAGGCATTGTCACCTCTGCCCACACCGAGAATATGAAATACAGCATAATCACAGTGCTATGACAACAGCTCCACAAAAGGCTGTCCATGGAAATCACTGGCATTATAATGGATCAGTGTAGCCTGGTATGCACCTGGCTATAAAAGCAATTGCTTTTGCAGAAGCAGCACTGCATGGACATGTCTATTTATGCATGGAAATACCTGCATGTGAACATATGTACAGATGCCTATTTGCCCACCCTGCATCAAGAGTAACTATTCAAAAAGACTAATTTTAATAATCACTAAACATTTTAAAATAGATTGTAAAGGACTTGACATTGCATAGATATCAGGAGAAGCTTCGTATTCTCCAGGTTGGATCTTCAAAAGAGCCTAAGGATCTAAAATGCATGGTAGAGATACAGGCACTTGCTTGAAGGAATCCATTGAAGGTGTAAGACTCAGTATGTGCTTCTCAGCAGGGTAAATCATCATATACAGGTGCTCCATGTCCAGCTTGATGAACTGTCTTTTGCCATTGACCACAACAAGCTTCTCTAAAGCTGAGCACAAACCACTAGGAGCAGAATCAGATCAAAGAATCAGGTCAATTCAGCTTCTGAATATTCAAGCATCTAACTACTTTTTCTGTTGCTGAACTTCAAGTAGAATTGCTACTTAGCAAACTACAAAACCATTTCAGTTAGGAATGAGAGCTTTGTATGGGGAGATTAGCTTTGTATTTCAGTTTGCTTTAAATATAAAAAAGGTTTCAGCTATCTCCCAAACCTGATCATTAGCAGGGCTTCTCTTGGACCCTATTTGCTTAGATCATACAAAGAACTTTCCAGCACTTCAGTTACAGGAATCAATTTGCTAGTACTAGTCAGCAACTAGAGTGCCTCCACTGTTATGGCATGTTTTTAGCTCCCAGGTACTGAGAGAAAATGGATTGAATGAACTACTGATACAGATACATTTTTCCTGAGAAAAATTTGGACCACTGCCAAATGCAAAGTCACATCTTCATAAGCAAAGCATGAGGGGCAGAGTTCTGGCAGGGTAACCTTATCACAGACAGCTGTGAATTCAAAGAGACTGCCGTGATTGTGGTTAATAACCCAAACAAGACGAGTACCTGCGGATGCTGCAACTGAAGCCATTCTAGCTTACACATATAGTGGGATAATACTTGTACTTCACACAACATTAGTTAGGTTCTAACTGAAATTAAGTCAATACTAGTACCAATTTTAAAACATTAACCTGACTATTTGGAAACAGTTCAGAGAACAGCTAAATAGTATTAGTCAAGGCTTGGAAATGTGCCTCAGAATGAAAAGCTTAAGCACTTAATCTATTTATTTTATCAAAGAAAAGGTTAAGATGTGACCTGATTATGGTTTATAAGTAGCTGCACATGAACAGACTCCTCAGATTAGACAGCCATTACTCCAGCAGAGAAACACATGGCTAGAACCAAGAGCTGGGAAAAAGGTGAAAGTAAAAATGTTTAGATGAGATGAGTTAACCACTGTGGGTAAGACCCTATTTTTGGGGGTACACTGCTGCACTTAGGCATCAAGCATTGTCAAAATATATACTTACCAGATGAAATTATATGGTCTATTATC